CCTGGAGATTAAAGCAGGAGATATTAAAGCGGAAGATCTCAGTTGAAGTTGAATAAAAAGCACTGTAAAATATCCAGTGAAGACTGCCCTATCATTGTTGATTCTGTATATGTGTGTGTGTGTGTGCGTGTGTGTGTGTGTGTATCCCAGACTATTGTTTTATTCCATACGTATTTTTAATGCAAGTGGAAGGGCAATAAAACAACAATATATATGTTCAACTTGGGTACAAGTTGCTGTTTGTGTGAAGTATATTGGAATTCAGATAGTAAAATCTGTATTTCAGTCAATTGTGAAATACATTGGGTGTCCTTGAGCAAGTCACATTCTCTCAGCACAGGGGAAAGACTGTGGATCTGAAAGCATTGCATGCAGAAGGTTCCAGGTTCAAATCCTGCCTTCTCTAATTGTGCTAGGAGAAACTTCTTTCTGAAATCCTGGACTCTGTCTATAATTGTTGACATTTATTAGGTTAGATGGACCAATGGCCCGACTTAGGAAGAAGTAATCTCATCTGTCTTGCAAGGTTACTAAAGTGGTACATGAGATAAACTTCAAATATGTAAACAGGCCCTGGGGAATACAGCCTTCATTATAACAATACAAGTCTTTTTTGTGAGATGTTCTTTGTTGGACTGTATAGATTTATGTTGATATTCTTCCATTTAAAATAAAAATAATTGCAAAGCCCTGAATGATATGGAAGCCTTAAAAAATGAATGGGATAATATTGTGTTTAATGGTTAGCTGTAGTAAAGCCAGACACATTAGCAAGATGATTGTGGTTGTGAATGTAATTTATGTTATTGCAAATGTAACCCAACATTTGAGAAGTAAAGGCTCAAATTACCCCAGTTGTGTATTGAACTGTTGATGCAGTACCACGTTTATATTCATCATTCTACTTGACTGCTTTTTGGTAGCTGTGAAGCTTTTCCTGCAGGATGACGCTCCCTCAGAAAATTAAGAATTAGCAGTGTTCAAACGTTTAAAGGGTTGCTGTAGCCGTTGGAAAATAATTTATTTTGCCAAGAGTTCTGTTCAGATTAAAAGTTAGCAAAACAGCTTACCCACTTCAGCACAGTGTGGCTGAACAAAATACACCTCAGAACTTCCTATATCTATGAGAATCGTTTGGCTTAATAATTACTAGGGTGCCAATACTTACCGAATGTTGCACTGACATAGTGTACATTATGGAGGTGAGGGCCATCTGGCTGCAACCTCTGTCACCCCATTGATCACCAGGTTTGATTTGGCTGATCTAGCTGGCTAGGTGGGTGTCCCTTCCTCCCTCACTGCTTCATGTGTGTCCCTCCTGAACCTGCATGCTCAGTGGAAAAGAACAGCTATCCCAGATAGAAGGAATATACCAATCTTCAGTCAAGGGTATACGGTAGCTGTGCTTCCCTGCTAGAGCATCCAAACAAATAGTATGCGTTAGGGAAAAATAAAGTTCCAAAAAATTTATGTTTTAAGGCAGGGTGACAGTCAAGTCTTCAGGCTTTCTGAAAGTCAGCCATTGTCCTTGTTTCCTGTGAGAGACTGCAGGCAAATTCAAGTCTGAGAAATCCATTGATGCTGAAAGATCATTATACTGTCACCAATAGTTATAAAGAAACCTAAAGTCCTTTGACATTCCTGTGTTTTTTCACTGACAGTTTTCTCTGCATCCTTGCTCAGTAGGCCCTTTGCCTCTGCTTTCCTGTCTCATCCATCCTTGGGCCCATGCGCTTTTTAGGAAGAGGAAGTTACCACTCGACAGAGATGATTTTTGTACAATGAATTGCATGTGGCTGGAAGAAATTACTCCCAACTGGTGGGTTGCTCAAAATCTTGTAGTGGATATTAGGATAAGTGTGGCAGAAGATGGTTTTTAGGAGTTTTCCATTTAGAATCAAATGGAAAGGACTAGAATCAAATCAGTAAGTTCAGAAATGATACGATTATAAATCATTTGCCGCTTTATTTTATTTCATTTTTTATGTTTGCAGTTTGCCCTCCTTTCCTATAGATTGTCTGGGTATGTAAGAAAGACACATAGATGCTCAATTTGTACCTGAAAAGCAGTAGATACTAAAATTCAGTTGCTCACAATCTGAAGTAGACAAAAAGTTTTAGTACTAAATAAAACATGGGGTTTTAGTTTAGAAAAATAAGCCTCAGATAAGCAGATAAAGTGCTTTACCCAAGATGTGAGGGTGGGAAGATGAAAACTAGTTGAAGAGAAAACTCTGATAATTTAAGCATATGAACCAAATGGAAGATGAAAAAGACAGGAAAGCTGTAGTAAAAACAAAGGGTATAGATGAAGAGGGAGGATTTTAAATATATGTATGGAAGCCATATAGTGAATATGGGAGAAATAGATCTTCACTGAAGAGATAAGGCTGAAGGTGTTCCTGAATGAGATACGTAAGGGAAAAATGATGTTATTGAGGTAGTTGTATTGCTCTAATTGATAAACACAACATGAGCTAAAAGGCCTATATGTATAATGTCAAGAACCAGTATCATATGTCTGCTATGTAGCAGTAGCAGGTCCTTGTAGCCTGTTGTTCCTTGAGTAGTTTGAAGGTCTTTGGTTATGATAGCAAGATATAGGAGAAGTTGTAGCTCAGAAGGTCCCCAAATAATTGTTAAGATTTGCCTGTTCATCCAAATCCATAAGCTGTTTGTTTGTGTGTTTCTTAAATGTTGTTCTCTATCTATCCTAAAAGAAAATTTTAGAAGTTGAATCTCTAAAATGTCAGGTGATACTCCATTATTTTTTTTTAATAGCTGGAGAAGTTATAGATTGTTTTGTTTTTGAAAATATCTAGTTTTGGAGAGTTGTTGATAACACTGGCTCTGTGTACATTGAACATTTAAAACAATATTTCCAGTATTGATGTTGAATGTCCACCAAACACCAAACGTCCATCAATTATTGCAGTCGGGTACAAAGTATAGTATTCTCTAGTCTCTAGAGAAAGGAAGATCAATCAGAACTAGGAAATAGAGAGAATGAAACTAATGCCAAGCAAAGATTTTAAGTACTG